CCCTGGGGCTATAAGTAAACATATCCAACAATCCTTTGCTATTTTGGGGTTACCTTCCTGCAGCAGATTTTGGCACAAAACCACAGTATCATAAATGTAAGTCTTATTGCACTGTAAACGGGACACAAACTCCTCTGTATCTTTTCTGCGTATTACCTTGTAAGTTGGTGTAGGGGGTGGTGGTCTTCGAATTCCAAACCTTTCAATATAGGCATTAGTATTGTCAATCAAAAGGAACACTTCAATTACCAATAGGCTTATGATCAGATTTTTCAGACACACACTCTTTGATTTATCCCTGGGCATCCAGGGCATTAATACATCCCCCCTCCAGAAAATAGTAGTCAGCCCCATCTTTATCTCTTCCCCAAAAGGTGCGGGGAAACCAGCAACAAGTGAAAGGTATTCCAAAACAAACAATCAACACAATGAAAACAATATCAGTTTCACAACTTGGGTTGTGACCAAGCCAGCACATCTAGGGGTTGTATGGCTGGGAGAGTCTATGGTTTCAAATCTTCTGGTTGTTCCTGAATTAGGCCTCTACCGGTGGACCTAATTAGTCCTTGAAAAGATCTGCTGGTGAAGCTGGAGAGTGCTGCAATTTTAGTTTAAGTCCATCGACTGAGGAAACTTGCCAAGTGTCTGGGGGTTCCTCCACCTGCTTGATTCTGGACCCATGTATCCAGGCCTTAATGCCTTCAACTTTCACAGCTGTTGGGGTGCTCAGAAGAACTTGCTTCGGCTCGGACCACTTTGGGTCTGTGCAGGATGGGAATAGCTCCTTCACTCTGACCCACTGGCCTGGCTGGGCGATGGGTGATACATCAGGAGTGACCGGCAAGGCGTCTTGGACCTGCAGGGAAATAGAAGATCGAACGTGTGCCAGCTTCTGCAAATATTGAGAAATGTTCTTTTCACCTGTCCATGCAGTTTGCACTTCATGTGATACAAATGGTCTCCCATAAAGCATTTCAAAAGGGGACAACAACAGTGGCCCTCTGGGCATGGCCCTGATGCGTGTTAAAGCAAGGGGTAACACTTTAGGCCATGGTAACTGAGTCTCTTGACAAAGCTTGGCAAGCTGAGTCTTTAAAGAACAGTTCATCCATTCCATTTTGGCTGACGCCTGGGGCCGATAACTGGAATGTAGATGCCAAGGAATGTCCAGGAATTTACTGACTTGTTGAGTGACATCAGAGGTGAAGTGCCTCCCATTATCTGACTCTAACCCTTTAGGGACCGAGAATCTTGGAATAATGTACTCCACCAGAGCCCTAACCACTTCTCCTGCACGTTGAGATGAGACAGGGAAGGCTTCGGGCCATCCAGAGAACAAATCCACAAAGACCAAAAGATTATTTTTGGGTCCCTTTTTGGGAAGCTCTGTAAAGTCCACTTGCCAGGCCTCTCCTGGGTATTGAGCTGTACGAAGATGGCCTGGGGGGATAGATTTACCACTCTTTGGATTATTTCTG